GGGCTTGGTTTTTGCTCTGATATGCATTATCAGCTGTTAGACCTTTTATTAAGACGTGTGTGCCTTTCCAAATCATACCCATTCAATTGAATTTGCCACAGGTTAACTTCACTTGAAGTGTAGTAATATCTACAAGTAAAATCAATGCTCCCGAGCTAAATTTCAACTGTCCCAGATAAGGGTATGAATACTTATGCAATGGAATAATTTTATTTTTTTTATTTTTAATAAATTTGCAAACATTGCAAACCTGTTTATTTGCTTGACAATTATGGTGTATGGAGTGTAGATTGATGTGGAAAAAAAATAATTTAAAGCAGTTTAACATAAGGCAGCAACAAAATAAAATGTGAAAAAAAGAAGGGGTATGAATACATTCGCAAGGCACTGTATAAATATATATATATATATATATATATATTAATCTAATGCAATTAATCATGCTCATCCATCTACATTTTGCATTATTTCTGTCATAATTCCACTCCAGAGTTTTAGTGGTTTACAAATGCTCTGTGAATCAGTTTAAATAAATCTTCAGAAAGAATAGTTTTAAAAGCAAGATTTGTTTACAAACTAGACTTATCTAATAATGTAGTTCATTGCATGAATGCTTCTGGATTAAATCTTACCTGTCTATATGAACACCAGAGAGATATATTTTGTGTTCTTATCCCAATTTAAGATGCTTATGTGGCTTAAATCAGTCTCTGCTTTACTATTAATCAACAAGCTGTTATAAATATAAGAGTTTCAGTTGAGGGGTCAGAGGTATCAAATCATACCTTCATGATGTCGAGACGCAGACGCTCGTCATCGCAGCGAACGAACACGCTGGAGGATGAGGAGAGAGGGAGGGAGGTGGAGAGCGTGACGGCCTCCTGTGCTAATCGTCGAGCACGAGCGGCACTGTTGGCGTCGCTGGCATTCTTCACCTGAGACATGTAATGGTAGTTCACCTTAAACACCAGCTTAGAGTCCTCATCCTCACACACCATCTCAAACGTGTCTGTGGAGGAGAAGACACACAGACAGTTAGTTATCAGCAGTCACAATGAAATACAATCAGCCTGAAAAAACATCAGATTCACTTAAAAATAAACATTTCATCATATTTCCTTCAGAAAAAGCCATACTGTGTATTCTGAAGGATCTGTTCTGTGTGGGCCTCTGCAAACCTGTTTACAGTCATGTCAGCTGAGATTACCTCATTCGTCTGAGGTCGGGCTAAATCATTTTTGGCAGAACAAAACTCTTGCCATCAATCAGAGCAAAGACAGATGAGAAATGACAACCAGAAAAGCTATTCTTCCAGCAAGATAACACAATTCTCCCCATTTCAGTTCATATGCATTGTGCTCCTCCAAATATTTGGCACACTTAAAGAAAAGAAAAGCAGCTGAAAGGAAAAACAGCAACTTCTATACATTCATTCAATTATGTATGTGGCACAAAAGCAGAAAATATGGAAGAATAGGTTTAGACCAGGGTTTCCAATCCCCTGGGGGTTCATGAGTTCATGAAAACATTTTAAAACAAATAATAACTGAAAACACTTACTAAAAAGATTTTATTTTAGATTTTATTCTAGAATATTTTATTTATGTCATGTGACCATTAACCAACATCAAATAACCATAAACATACTAAAAACATGTGGAAATATTCTGAAATATTGTGGAAAATATTGAAGCAACCAATACTAAAATTCTAGCTGATAATTAGATAATTCTGGCCAACGATAATTAAGTCGATTATTATGTTATGGCCAAAAAACAACAAATGGCTAATATAAAAATACAACGCTGTTAACTATTATTCACAGTGTTGCTAAATTATTATCCTTTTAAAGAATCATTTAAGTGAGTGCTAGATCATGGCAAAGTCATATGCGATCTAATAAATAAAAAAATAAATGAAAAAAAGCCTAATATTGGTCGATAACCAATGTATTGTGCATTGCTAAAATATTCACAATTTTGTGAAAAATATTATTTAAAAGGTTCAATAAAATGTTTAAAATCACTGAACTTGAGTGTAAAATATCATTTTAATTATTAAATTATATTACATACTCTCTTTTCATCCAGTAAAAGCTTAAATGGGTCAAGCACTAGCAGAGACATGTAGTTCAGGACTCACCAAACTGTAGTTTCTTCATGGCTGCTGTATATTTCTCCTCCATTGAGCGCAAGATGGACAGCGGTTTGGGCCTTGCTGCTGCCTTCTTAGAGCTTTCAGCCATCTTCCTCTCTAAAAAAAGCAGAAGACAGTGTGTGCATGTTTGTTTCACAGTAGCCTGAGGGTGTGTTTGAGTAGGTCACATCTTCCATCCTCTCATCTCTGAACAACCAACACAACCTTACGAGAAGCCAAAGTAACCTGAATGCAGGCTCTGCTATCAGTAAACAAACCATACTGTTAAGAAAAAAAAACCCCACTTTGAGCTCAAACGGCGCATTTTTCTGACTTGATAATTAAAGACTCGCATTGAGATGTGTTTGACTGCAAATTTGTTACTTTGATAAATGAGACGAAGCACAAAAAGTCGTGTTGTTACTCAAATGAGTAGCTGCATTTCTGTTCTCTCAATTCAGATTGTTATCGAGAGAGCGTCAGACTAATGACAACGACAGCAGCAGACCGTCACCACTCCGGCGAGACATATTAGACCTGCAGATGGAGGCCGTTAGAGCTACAACACAATTAAACTCCCTATATTTAGGAGCTTTATGGCATTTCCGCCCATTCTGCAGTGTGCAGACACATGTCCCTCCCTGCATACACATGCACCATGACAGCCAATCAAATTACCTGTGCTTAACAGGGCTGATAACGGCTACGCTTTGGATACGAGCCACATAAAATCCCACCGACACTGATAGCTCCATTTACGCTCTCCTCATCACATTAGCACATGATATTGATGCCAGTATCAATATTGAACTACAGGACACCACTTTCGACCAATCAGACATCCTGACTGCACTGCGTCTGGCACTTTAAAAAAAAAAAAAAAACAGACCGAGTACTAATTAAGCAGTTAAACGGGGTGGTAAGTGTAATGTCTTACTGCTCTTATCATATGGATTTTACTTATGGATAGTGACAGCGGCATTGATCCGCCTCACCATATTTAACGCCCCTTTCATTCACTCATCATGGAGAGAATGAGAGCATAAGATACCCAAGGGAGGGTGATGGTTATTATATGTGGATGTGCTGATGTGGTTCTCCGACATAACCCTGGAAATTCCTGCTATTTCCAAACCTTACCTCCTCATGACCACAAGGGTTCATGCTAATGCTCAAAGGTCTAAATTCCCCTCAGCTTTGCTCTAGAGGACCTCAGAGGGACATAGTTTGTACATGTTAATAAACGGATGTGACTTATCTCAAGAGCTTTGAATCCCAGGATTAGGAATTGCCATGGTCACATTGGTTTTTCTGTGGTCAGCATAGAGGAACTAAACATTGATCACACAACATCCCTGTCTGAAAATACACCCTGGCTATGACTAAGGGCCACTGGTTCAAATAGAAGATCTTCAAGAATTAGCACGACATAAATTAAGTCTAGCCTGACAAACCAAACTGCCCAGTAAAGCTGACTCTCCATTTAAAACTCCTTGGAGAAAACGATCAGGCTTTAGAGAGCCTGCCGGCTCTGGAGCGGCTCTGTGCTGAAGAGCCGTTTCTCTTTGGCTTATTTTGTCAGAGCAAACAGTCACTCCATGTCCCTCGAGGCCCTCAGACAAGCAGGGAGTGTGTCTTCAGCATGTGAAATACACACCACCCCTCTCCTGACAGACCACTATACATGCAGCACTGTCGTGCTTTTGCTTCTGCTCTGTTTCAAGTCTCAAGCACCTAAGAAATAATGCCCTACAGAGACACAGAGCATTAAGAACTTTTGCACAGGGGGTTTTAGTGTGAAATGTGCTTCAAATGGCGCAGAAAATTTCATGGGTATGATTATTTCAATATCTATAAACATTATGAAAAGATTAGTTAAATGTACATAAGTCAAAAGTTTGGACACACTTGACTTGATTCATGATTAAAAACGCTGGCATACACACGCAAAAGCTATTGCATTTTAAATTAGTTTTGTAAACATGAACTACTGGTCAAAAGTTTGGGGTCAGTACGATTTTTAAATGTTTCTCCAAGGCTGCGTTTATTTGATCAAAAATACAGTAAAAATAATATTAAGAAATATTATTACAAATAAAAATAACCGTGTTCTATTTTTTTTTTTATATTTTAAAATCTAATTTATTCCAGTGATGAAAAGGCTGAAATCATGCTAACATGCTGATTTGGTGCTCAAGAAAAATTGCTTATTATGAATGTTGAAAAGGAAACTTTTGATGAAGGTGGTTGAGAATGAACATAAAGCTAGAATATAGACAAAGGTCGAATATGATAAAGAAGCTAAATTATCAGATGGTTTTGATTTGTCGCTACATTATTTCCATTTGTGTATTGATGACTTTATTGTTATTACTCTAAAACTTAAAGGGATAGTTCACCCAAAAATGAAAATTTGATGTTTATCTGCTTACCCCCAGGGTCATCCAAGATGTAGGTGATTTTGTTTCTTCAGCAGAACACAAACTAAGATTTTTAACTCAAACCGTTGCAATCTGTCAGTCATATAATAGTGGTGAATGGGAATCACGGATTTGAGAGTCAAAAAAACATACACAAACAAAACCAAATTAAACCCTGCGGCTCGTGACGATACATTGATGTGTAAAGACACGAAAGATCGGTTTGTGCAAGAAACTGAACAGTATTTATATATATATATTTTTTTTTTACCTGATTCACCGCAATGTCAGGCATGTTCGCGTCTTCTTCAGCCGGTGCGTGACGCGTCGTCGTCTTCTTGCTTTACGGCGGCTCTCAGACTTATAAGTGCATTACCGCCACCTATCTCTCAAATGGACCATTGACACTCTATCTACAATCTCAATTAGGAGTGTCAATGGTCCATTTGAGAGATAGGTGGCTGTAATGCACTTATAAGTCTGTGATCCACCGTAAATCAAGACGACGACGCGTTATGCGCCAGCTGAAGAAGAAGACGTGAACACGCTCAGGATTGCGCCTGACATTGCGGTGAATCAGAGGTAAAAAAACAATATATATACTGTTCAGTTTCTTGCACAGACTGATCGTTTCGTGTCTTTACACATCAATGTATCGTCACGAGCCGCAGGGTTTAATTTGGTTTTGTTTGTGTATGTTTTTTTGACTCTCAAAGCCGTGATTCCCATTCACCTCCATTATATGACTGACAGACTGCAATGGTTTTAGTTAAAAATCTTCGTTTGTGTTGTACTGAAGAAACAAAAGGGCCTTTCGCACCGCTTTAGTTCCAGAACTAAATGTACAGTACTAAAGTACTGGGACGATTTTGCGCGAACTACTTCCCAGTACCATTTAAAGGGTTTCATTCGTACCGACAGTGTGTACTAGGAAGTGATGTAAGCCGGTCGACAGCGACGTCATTTGTGCACAGCGCTCAACAACGGAAACAAAGAAGAACAACGTTAACAACAGGAGGATGGAGGACGTTTTGTTCCTTATTCCTTATTCCAACTGGATTTCCTCCGTTGCGTAAATGTTCAAAAGTGCCTGCACTTCAGCATCCGTCCATCTATCGCTGTTCTCCATACTTGCGAAATAAGTTGACACAATGTTTACAGTATGTTTACACTGCGTTTTAAATCATGGTGGGTGAGGGCGTGTTCGTACGCGTTTGGCCAATCAATGTCTACTTACGTCACGGGTAGTACCAGTTGTGCTGGTTAGACCCTGCTCCGGAGTAGGAGCTAATCTGGTTCTCGAAAAAGGCAGTCCGATACTAAAATCGCACCCAGTTCCGGATGTGCGAAAACGCCAAAAAGTGGGTAGTTCCGCAATTAGTTCTGGTACTATGAAAAGGTACCTGCGGTGCGAAAGGCCCTAAAGTCACCTACATCTTGGATGCCCTGGGGGTAAGCAGATAAACATCAAACTTTCATTTTTGGGTGAACTATCCCTTTAATACTGAAAAATGAGTTAATGTGTCCAAATTCTAAATTCATTATTTGTTAAGCATTTTAATCAAAGTTATTAAAAATGTAACCACTCCATCATTATTTAATAAACAGCAGATTATTGAGATGGATGTTCTCACCGTGGTTGGCCTGTCGTAGGTTGGTGGTGGAGGCATAAACAATCTCTGCAGTCTTCTGGATGTCAGGAACTAGCAGGGTGAGGCCTTCTGGCTCAGGATCAGATGTCTCCGTCTTCATCACCCCTTTACTTTTGTCTTTCTTTGACCTAAGGTGGACAAAGGATCATCAGAAATCACATTTCTGTAGACACTAGCAAATTAATTAGGAGTCTTTATTTGTGTTTGCATGCATGTGAACATGTGAAATGTTTCATTTTTCAATGACCACAACAATGACAGAGAAAAAAAAACAAGTGCATGTCCTCAAGAACTTCTCAGCCTCTCATGTCCCAACCCAGAAACAAACACACACACGCTCTCATCCTGAGAGGTGCTAGTACACACTGAATGCATCAAATGAGCAGCAGATTGTGACTTGTCCCAAAGTAAACCATTAAAAAAAACATCCAGCTGTCTTGTGGCTAAGCACACACCCTCACAACATGCATCTTTCATTAAGCAGGAGAGAAAATGAAAGAGACAGACAAATGAGAAAGGGGACATGTCAGAAATGTCCTTTACCTGTAGGTGACACAATTAAGACGGCCCCGTCATTCAAAGGACACTTGGACAGAGCCAAGCTCGTGGCTTCACCCTGTGACTAACAGGCCAACACCAATAACATCTCGCTAGCCATGAAGACTAAGCCATTATTAAATACAGACAGCTGATAACAAATCACAGTCTCTCACTACTCTACATATCCACCTGTGTTATTACTTGAATCAAGCAGACTCACAATCTTTACCTGGAGGATGATAAAAAAGGTAAACAAAAAAAAATCCTTAGGCTTATATTGAAGCCTTATATTGGGACGTAAAACACATTAAAGCTAAATAATCTTAAAAAAGAAAATTAATTTATCAATTTATAAAAAATGTAATAATATTTATTTTTTTATTTAAATTAATAACTCAAATACTTTGATCATTTTTAAATTATAATATTAATACAAGAAATTTAAATACAAATAAAATAATAATAATAAACAAATTATAGAAAATAAATAAATAAATAAATGTGTAAATTAAAAACCTAAAAAAAAAAAGAAAGAAAGAAAAAGGAAAAAAATATTATTTCTGATAACCAATACATTGCTAAAAATCAAATTCATAATTTATTTTTTGTGGTGGGTCCAGCAAAAATTGTGGCAAAAACTAAAAGGCCAAAGCTGAATTATGGACAAGCATGGAACGGCAAAAGCTCAGGACAGTCTGAAGGCCACTGGGGATTAGAGGCTTTTCGAGGGCAGGTGAGGAGCACTGACTGATCTAGCAGTCATTTATCACTGTGTTACTCCTCTGCTGAAACACTGGTTTTGACTTGTGTCTATAGCATCAGGTTACATCTTGTGGGTATAAGGTTTTTCCATGCAGGTCAGAGAGTGAGTGTCACAGGGCGGGCTTCCATCCATCAGCAGTCACTCTGTCTGTCCTCTGTCCATTAGTGTGACCAACCGTTGGACTGAATGTGTGTGTGTATGTGTGTACCGAAGAAGAAGAGCTCACCTGAGGCGGTTGGTGTAGGTGTCCACACATGTCTTCATCTTGGCCAGTAACATGCCAACAGACGTCTGACACTCAGTGTGTTCTTCATCCTCCTCTTCCTCTGCAGCGTCTCCTGATAGCGGCAAGAGCAGAGGAACCAGGCTGGTGCAGGTGGAGATGGCCCTCAGCAGCTCCAACAGAGCACGATACAGGGGCACGTGACGCGCCATGTCCAAAACTGCAGGAGACAGAGAGAGAGACATTACGTACAGAGACAGGATGCTTATAAAAGACAAAGTCGATTACATTTCTTAAATGACAGAAGGACACACATACAACACACACTTAAATGATCCCTAAAAGACAAAGTCGATTACATCTCTTAAATGACAGAAGGACACACATACAACACACACTTAAATGATCCGCACATACACACACATTTTCAGTCTCTCAAGGTTAATAATGTTTTTTTAAATAGATGCTTTTAGGAACATCATTGGTTTCAAAGATTTAAACCGAATCTTTGTACAGGACAATGGTTTTATCATGTGGAAGAGTCACCTTATGACCATCTTATGGATGGACAAACAAGGAAACTTATGTTGTGCTTGCTTAAAGGGATAGTTTACTCAAAAATTAACAGATTCTGTCAACACATACTCACCATTATGCCATTTGAAACCTATATGACTTACTTTCTTTAGCAGAACAGAAAAGATGATGCTTTAAAGAACGCTGGGAACCAAAAAAAACAAAAAACAAATAATCTTTTATGTTGCACAGAAGAAAGTACATACAGGTTTGGAATGAAATGGGGGCGAGTCAATGATGACAATTTTGATTTTATGGTGAACTGTCCCTTTAAGACACAACATAATAGCATAGAAAAGATACTTTGGCTGTAGGAGGAAAAATTAGGTAGGAAAACAACATACATACATACATATATACATACATATATACACATATATACATACATACATACATATATACACACACACATGCACATACACACATACATACATACACACGTATATTATCTATATTCTATATTCTCTTACTTAATTCACATTCTTTTATAAACCTAATAATATCATCATATATCTTGTTAGCTGATTTCCCCAATAAACTTGACAAAGAAAAGTCATGGTGTTTAACTTTCTTCATTGACTGAATAAGGCGATATCTCTCATTATTGTATTTTACACATTGAAGTAGTACATGTTCAACTGTTTCTTGTTGATTACAGTGTACACATTCCCCAGTTGGATGCTTACCAATTCTATATAATGTACTATTAAGTCCAGTATGTCCAATTCTAAGGCGTGTAATGATATTTCCTTCCCTTCGATTCCTACTCTCCTTTCTCCCAGCATCAACTGTTTTTTGTATATTATACAAATGTCTACCCGTTCCATGGTCATCCCAATATATCCACACATATATATATATATATATATATATATATATATATTTTATTTATTTATTTATTTTATTTTTAATACAAAGATTCAGACATAACCAAACAACTCAATCAATCTTCTCTTGAGTATGTTGAGATGCCATAAGAACTAGAGCCCAACCGATATGTTTTTTTTGGGGGCCGATGCGGATACCGATATAAAAAAAAAAGGTATTTTTATCGAAGATAAGATATCGATATATCGGCCGATATTCTTTATGTGTAGGCTATATTATAGTACAGTATAGTAAAAGGTTTGGGCACACTTCCCATTCGTGTGTCCAAACTTTTGACTGGTACTGTATATAGAATACAGTATATAGCCTACATAAACAG